AAGTCTTTCCATTTCCTAACAAATGGGGCAATGTCATTCTGTCTGATGGAGGCATAGAATTCCATTGTGTATATATACCACATTTTCTTGATCCATCTGGGGCATCTGGGTAGGCCAAAATTTTCTTAATAGAGACCCAGAAACACAACAAATTAAAGGTTGGACAAATGAGATTGCATGAAATTGCAGAGCTTCTGCATGGCAAAGAACATAGCTAGCAAGATCAATAGAAAGCCCATGGATTGGGAGAATATATTCACTGGCCATACAATGGACAAGGGTTTCATATCTAAAATATACCTGGAACTCAAAAAAATTAAATCCCCCACAATAAATTCTCAAAGAAACAAGTGCCCAATAAATAAGTGGGCTAAAGACTTACAGAGAAACTTCTCTGAAGAGGAAAGAAGGATGGCCAATAGACACATGCTCAACCTCCCTAGCCATAAAAGAAATGCAAATCAAAACAACATTGAAATACCACCTCACCCCAGTTAGAATGACTATAATCAAGAACTCTAATAACAACAGATGCTGGAGGGGATGTGGGCAGAAGGGAACCCTACTGCATTGTTGGTGGGAGTGTAAACTTATTCAACCACTTTGGAAAGCAGTATGGAGGTTCCTTAGAAGACTCCACATAGAGCTCCCCTATGACCCAGCAATCCCACTTTTGAGCTTTTACCCAGACTTTAGCTTTACTATACTTGTCATGGACTTAGGAAATGCAGCTTCCTGTTCTCTTTCAGATTTATGGGATCCCTTCCTGGTGAGGCTTTTAATGGACCTAAAATTGCTGAGGATTTTGATTCAGCTAATTTGAATTTTATATTGAAGTAATACCACCAATGATTGAGTGCAATATACATTAAAAATAAAACAAAGATGAAAGATGTATTTTTGGCATGTTAGTGAAATGAGACTGGATTTTTCCTCTCATTGTCTAAAATTTTGAAAAGATATTTATAATTTGTGTATCATAAAATAAAATAAATGAGGAATGAACCCCACTTAACTAACTAAAAATATTCTTTCTCTCTAGTGGTACATATAGACAAGCAAACAAGTCACAACACAATCATGGGTATTTAGATAAATGTACATAAACACTTATTTAGAGACAGAGATTAACAAAGGCATCATAGGAGAAATAACTTGCCAGAATTGGTGATCAGAAGACAATAACAAGGGCGGAGGGGTACAAACAGCAAGGAATTTTAGAGAAATGCATGTTCTCCTTCCTTTGTGAGTTGAATCACCAGCAATTCTTAGTTCAGATGAACTAGTTGTTATGTTAATTCCATGCTGTACTCCCTGCTGAGTAATTACATATAAAAATATTAGAGGGCCAGGCATGGAAGCTTATGCCTATAATATCCACTATATGGGACATAAAGGTAGTAGGATTATGGTCCAAAGCTGGCCTGAACAAAAACATAAGATTCTGTCTAAAAATAGCTTAAAAAGGGATAGGTGTGACTCAAATGGAAGAGCACACACCTACCAAGTATAAGGCCCTGAATTCAAGCAGTCACAAAGGGCTGGGAAGGTAGCTCAGTGGTAGAGCGCTTGCCTTGCATGCATGAGGCCCTGGGTTCTATTCCTCAGCACCACATAAGCAGGAAAAAAAAAAGTCAGAAGTGGCGCTGTGGCTCAAGTGGTAGGATGCTAGCCTTGAGCTGAAGAGCTGAGGGACAGCACCCAGGCCCAGAGTTCAGGCCCCACGGCCGTATCCAAGTAGTCACAAAAAATTAGATATTTTTACATATGGATACAAACACACATATTTATTTCCTGCTTGGTGCTTATCACATTTCCTCATTAAATGTAGATAGGTAAGTCATAGAAAAATATAACTATAGAGAGAATTTTCATAGCAAATACACAGTAGAATATGCTTTATACTCACTACTTCTATCATTCTGTGGACTTTTTCTTTAGCAGTATTGTCTGTGTTGTTTCTGACCATCACAAATGTATGGAGCACAACAAATATACACTGTAAATTTTAATGCAAAGTAACTCTGAGGCAGGTCTGCACCCTGTCTAAGGTGTCAGATCACTTGCAAGCGTCTTTCTTAAAGTGTCTTTCTATAAACCACCACTCGGGCCCCGTCCACTGCTCCTCACATCTGATCCCACCTGCTTTCAGCTGCGTATCTATAGTTTACTCTAGGAAGACAAAATGGTCTGGTTATTCAGCAGGGCTGTGAATTCCACTTAAATAACTCTCCGTGCATTGTGTCTAAGAAGTAGCAGCCTTGCAAGGACCTACTATTGCTGGGAATGGGGTAATCATGTGAGCATTTCTTCAAGCATTAGGACAGAAAAAGAAACAGGAGACAATGTTTATCTCAAAGTACACCTATTCCTTCAATGTCTCTTGGCTTTGCACGTAACGTGGTTTTGCTCATTGTTTTTTTGACAAAGCACTTTGCATACTTCTAGTACGAAGTAAATGTAGTAATAGCATGCATTTTATCCTTGAGTGCCTAAGGTAAGCTGGGCACCTTGTAGCATCCTTTACATATCTTTTTTTTTTTTTTTTTTTGTCGGTCGTGGGGCTTGCCTCTGGGCCTGGGCGCTGTCCCTCAGCTCTTCAGCTCAAAGCAAGCACTCTACCACTTGAGCTACAGCGCCACTTCCGGTTTTCTGGTGGTTTATTGGAGATAGGAGTCTCACGGTCTCTCTTGCCCGGGCTGGCTTTGAACCGCGATCCTCAGATCTCAGCCTCCTGAGTAGCTAGGATTACAGGCGTGAGCCACCAGCGCCTGGCTTCCTTTACATATCTTTAACCCAGCGGAACTCCAGTGAGCCAGGATTGTCAGCAGATTTTACTTAGGAGGAAATTGGGACTCCATGTCATTGAGAAGTTTCCATATATTCCTTATTATTAAGTGAAGACAATGGAGTTTTAACCAGAACCCTTTCCATTCTGTTAAGAGATTCCAGCTGTGGCAGTGAAGGTGAAGATGAGGAAGGTAACTTTGTTGTTATAGATACAGTGGGGTGAACAGCATGTTATCTCCCGTTGGTTTCCATAGCCCTAACAATGGGCAACTTTGAATAAACGGCTTTATCTTTATGCTTGCGGTGTCTCCTTTTGTAAACTGTTTGAGTTCATGTGGATGTTGCCTACATTCACACCCTCATGGTGCAAGTGTTCCTGTGAACATCTTAACCCTTTGATAGTTTTTCCTTACTTTCAAGCTCATTTCAGTTCAGATATTATTGCATAGTCATTTTTCTAGTAACACATTTGGGGTAACACATTTGGGGTGCTTTCTTGCTCTAATTCCAAGACTGTGTGATATAGGCTTTCCAAAGAACTCCCCTGAGCTTCTTGGCATTTGGAGTCATTTGAATGATGGACTGTTTTCTGAGCTAGTTCTTTGAGGACTGAGACCCTCTTGTGATCAATATGTTGAGAGCATGCTGGAATGATTTGTAGCCTTAGATTGCACCTAATGTTCCAGTTAGACTCCACAGAATTTGAGTCTATGCTTTAGAAGGTGTGGTCTTGAGTATTTTTTTTTTCTTTTCTCAAAGTAATAGAGGTAGTTTTCTGTTGAAGGTTTTGTCCAAAGTGGATTGTGTATTATCACAAATAGCTATAGAAAAATACAACCTGCAATGGAATCTGGAAAATCACTAGATGGAGTAGGATTTGATATTCTGGCTCTGTCTCAAGTGCTTTCTTACCTTCCATACAATCCTAGGATAAAATTCCATATATGAAGGCATTACTGGTCACTTCTAAGGCCTCCATTCTTTAGCCTCTCTGTCATCCTCTCCATCCTCACACATCTGCTAGTACAGAAGTCATTATTGCCACCTGCTGAGGATAAATAGACCTGGCAGTTCCTTCTCCATGGATGGTTTCCTTTTCTATTTATACATTTTGGGCTCAGGTAACTGAATTTAGTTAAGGTAACTTCCATTAATCTAGAAAAGAGCAAAAGACTCTCCAAAGTAAATAATCTTATAAAGCCTGGCAATATTTTATAAGTTTAAATTTTTGAATGGCAATATCATGAAGAATCATATTTGAAATATTTATCTTCACAGTATTATTTCTAGAGATCTAACAAAAAACAAAGAGCCTAGAGCTAAATTGAAAAAAAATCCATAAAATAATGTGGTACTTTCTTTTTTAATATGTTTTTATTATAAAAATATTGTACAGAGGGGTTACAGTTACATGAGTAGGGTAATGAGTATATTTCCTATCAAGCATTGTTGCCTTCTCCTTTGTTTTTCCCCTACCATCCTTTCCCACCCACCTCCACAACTATACTCCCACCCCCTAAGTTGTAAAGTTCATTTTTCAACATAGTGTCTTGCACATCTCATTGTTACAATGGGTCAACCTGTATCCCTATTTAAGCAGTTTGATTTTTCCCTTCCCCGCCCCAAATCAGAGAAGTTTATATTCAAGATGCAGGGCACTGACATCAAATACAATGAAAAGAGGGGTTATACTGTGGGGGGAGGGACATACAAAGAAACAAACAAAAAAAACCACATGGTACATTATAAATACTTTAGAAACAATAGCAATAAAGAAAAAAACACTTATGTCCCTATCTTGGGGTTCATTTCACTTATCATCATCTTATCTGGTCATATGTACATAGCTTTTGACCATTTCTGCTTGTCCCAGACATATGTTACTGTAAATAAGGGAAACCATGGGACCTATGTCTCTTTGGGCCTGGCTTACTTCACTTAATATAATTTTTCCAAGTCTTTCCATTTCCTAACAAATGTGGCGATGTCATTTTTTCTGATGGAATCATAGAATTCCATTGTGAATATATACCACATTTTCTTGATCCATTCATCTACTGAGGGGCATCTGGGTTGGTTCCATATCTTAGCTATGGTAAATAATGCTGCAATAAACATAGTTGTGCTGGTAGCTTTAGTGTGGTCTTGTTTGTGATCATTTGGGTAAAAAATGGGATTGATGGGTCATAGAGGATATCTATGTAGAGTCTTTTGAGGAACCTAATGGACTTAACTCTCCAATTATGCGACATAGACTGTAGAGTTGGATTAAAAAGCAAGATCCTTCTATCTGCTGCCTTCAAGAATGACACCTTGCCCATAAAAACATACATGTTTTGAAAGTGAAAGGCTGGAATACAATCTACCAAGCAAATGGCCCCCATAAACAGGTGGAAGTTGCAATCCTAATACTAGATAAAATAGACTTCAAATTAAAATTAGTGAGAAGAGATAAAGAAGGTCACTACATACATATCCTCCTTCAGGGGGATATTACAATTCTAAATATCTATTCACCAATCAACAGAGCACCCAAATTTATCCAAGAAACACTGCTTTCCCTCAAATCTCACACAGATCCAAAGACATTAATTGTCAGGGACTTTAACACACCACTTCTTTCTTTATAACCCACTGAATGATTGAATCAAAGAATAACAAAGAAGGCAGTACTTTATCTTTTCCATTAGAATCTCTATGTCCATGCCACTAGTTCTATACCAACCTATCATCTTTTCCTGTTGCTTGGTTGTGTTGTAGTGACTAGTTGTGTTTTTTGAGATAAGATTCTCACTAGGGCTGGGCTTTGGTGGCTCAAGCCTGTAATCATAGCTACTCAGGAGGCTGAGATCTGAGGATCATAGTTCAAAGCCAGCCCGGGCAGGAAAGTCCATGAGACGCTTATCTCCAATGAACTATTAGAAAACCAGAAGTGGCACTGTGGCTAAAGCAGTAGAGAGCTCACCTTGAGCTGAAGAGTGCAGGGACAGTGCCCAAGCCCAGAGTTCAAGCTTCAAAACCACCACCAACGACAACAAAGTCTCACTAGGTAGCCTGGACTGGCCTTGAATTCAAAATGCTGCTGTATCAGCCTTAAAAGGGATGAGATCACAGGCAAGTGCTCACATGCCCAGAGCTCCTCTTCCTTTCTAGCAGTGTTCTTGTGTTTCAGTTAAAATTATGATTCTCTAGGTTCAGGGCTCTGCTTTCAAAATAGGTGTTTTACAATATTTTGAAAGATTTTTCTTTTCTTTTGAATACAACTAATGGGAAAAAGAAGCTAATATAGCTTTCAGGGAAGCTGAGTAAGCTGTTGTATATTGGAATGCATTACAGAAATTTTCACATTATAAACCTGTGGATTGTATGTAGATTCTGGCTAGCGGTGGAGGATCTCAAGAAAAGGCCCATTCGAGAAGTGCCCTCTCGAGTTCAGGAAATATGGCAGGAATTTCTGGCTCCTGGAGCCCCCAGTGCCATTAACTTGGATTCTAAGAGTTATGACAAGACAACACAGAATGTGAAGGAACCTGGACGGTACACATTTGAAGATGCTCAGGTAAGTGCATGGATGGGCCTTACCTCAACTTGTGCTTCTGAGCTGTGGACCCCTGTGACCTTTGACCTTTAGTTTCATTATCACTGGCAGCTATTTACAACTAGTTTGGGGAACTGTGCAAAATAACTTCCATTAAACTAGAAAATAAGAAAGGAAATGTACTCATTACCTTGCTCATGTAATTGTAACCCCTCTGTACAGCATTTTTACAATAAAAAAGTACCAAAAATATGAAAAAAAGAGAAAATACCCTGTAGAGGTAACAACCTCATAAAGCCTGGGAATCTATTTTTTCTTTTCATTTTCTTTTTTTTTTTTTATTGTCAAGGTGCTATACAGAGGGTTACAGTTACATAAGTTAGGTAATAAGTATATTTTTGTCAAACTTGTTATCTCCTCTCTCATTTTTCTCCTACTTTCCCTCTTTCCTAATCCCCCCCACAAATTGTGCAAATAATTTCCAACATATTTTCTTGTGAGTATCGCTGTCACATTGGTTCCTCCCTTTTTCTTTTGTCTCACCATTTTGTTGTTTCCTTCCCTAGTTCAGATAAATCTAAACACAATACCAGAATATCAAAATCCAATATAGAAAAAGTCATATTAAGTGATGTTAGCTAAACCCAAAGAAACATAGATCCCATGGGTTCCATTATTTGCAACAATTAGTATATGTCTAGAATAATCTTAGCAGATGAGCAGAATAGCTCAATAGCTATGTACATATGACCATATAAGATGATGCTAACTGAAATGAACTCCAAAACATGGACACAAGAGGTTTTCTTTGTTGTTGTTGTTGTTTTAAATATACTATGTTATTTTGTTTCTTTTGTGTGTTCTTCCCCTATAGTTTATCCCTTGCAGTCACTGGGAATCTTTTATAAATTGAAATTCTTTGCATATGAATTTCAGGAAAATGCCTATTGGAAACATGTAAATCGTTATGCTTTATTTCTGTCTCTTCTTGGCATGCAATTACATGAACACACACTATTGAAATCCTCACCTCCAATATACACCAATGTGTATCTTCAGTCTTGGAGATTCTACCATTCTAGCATTCATTGGTATGAAATTATCAGGATTAAATCAGCTTTAAGTTCTGTCTGACTCAAATAAGCTTTGTCTCTACTGAATAAATGAAATAAATGGCTTCAAGCATAGTATTTCAAGTCAATTTCTTTTTTTCAGAAAAAAAAACAAAAGTAGAAATGGATTTTCAATGTTCTTTTCTCAAACTAAACCTTAATTATCCTCTTAACAACAATTAGAATTTCTGCATCATTAGAAAAATATTGTCACTCAAGATGAAAAATAAACTTTCAATGAGGAAATATTATTTCCTAATGATATGGTTAGATTGATTTTTTTATTTTATTTTGTGACTGTCTTAGGGTTTGTACTCAGGGCCTGAGTACTGTCCCTTAGCTTTTATGCTCAAGGCTAGCACTCTATCATTTGATCCACAGCTCCACTTCTGGCTTTTTGATAATTAATTGAGATAACAGTCCTGTGAACTTTCTTGCCCAAGGAGTTTCAAAACAAGAATCCTCAGATCTCAGTTTCCTGAGTATCTAGGATTACAGGCATAAACTACCAACATCCAGCTGAGACTAACTTTTAAATCAGAATATGCGTACTTCATGGTTTGTTGAACTTCTTTTAGAGGATTAACCTGAAAAAGTACTTTGCTTTAAATAACAGCAGGACTAAAATACAAAACTCATTGCCAAGAATAAGGTACACAAATGTCCTTCCTTACTTCTACTCTTGGTAGAAAATACATTTCTTCTTTGGCTTTGTTTAAACAAATGGACCACTGTGTTGAAAAGTTAACAAAGACTTTACCAACTAAGCAGACATTCACTTCCTATGGCTCAGCCATGGTCTCCTATGTAGAAGCAATTACATTTTACAGAGATACATAGCAGTGCTCAATGAAAACTTGGGCATGTTGCTCAAGTCTCCACTGCAGTACCTTTCTTTGAATTACAGATCAAATTTTAACACAGTCTTGGGGTCTGCAATTCAGAAAACATTTAGAATATCCTTCTTGAATTCTTAAACTGAACATTTTCTTGTTATTTGTGTCATTGAAAAAATATTCTGGTTTAATAATATCTCCAATGAAATGAGAATGCATATTTTTTATAGAAAATACTATCACTGAAATTTAGAGTTGTTTTGGTTTTGTTTTCCAATTAAACTCAAATATTTAATTCAACTTCATATATATATACATACATATATAAATATTTACTCTATCTTCAAAAATACACTAGTAGAAATCATTGTCATTCTGTCTTTGAGCCAAGTGCAATGAAATGATTAAGAATGAAGGATCTGAGCCAGGCATAGGCGGCTCACACCTGTAATCCTAGTTATTAAGGAAGCTGAGATCTGAGCATCTGTGGTTCAAAGTGGTTCCAAAGTGGATCCATGGTTCCAATAAACCACCAGAAAACTGGAAGTGGTGCTGTGGCTCAAGTGGCAGAGTGCTGGCCTTGAGCTGAAGAGCTGAAGGACAGCTCCCTGGCCCAAAGTTCAAGCCCCACAATGACAAAAAAAAAAAAAAGAAAAAGAAGAGGATCTGTAGTTGAGTACTAATCTTACACTTTTCTGCACATCAGATTGTTATCCATCTAAAACAGGGATAGCAATGGTAACCAGCCATTTTGTGTTGTGAAAATTAAACAAGCTAATATAAGCCAACCCTTGGAAGAATCTCTGTCATGTACATAAGTCTATTTAATCACTGTACACTGCTTCACATTTATTATTCTTTCTTTTTAATCTTCATAAAAATACTATTTTCCTGGGTGCCGGTGACTCACACCTGTAACCTTCAGAACTGAGGATCCTGCTTTGAAGAAAGTCTTAAGAGGAAATTCCATGAGCCTTTTATCTCCAGTAAACCAGCAAAAAACTCAAGCTGGAGGTGTGGCATGGTGGTAGAGCACCAGCCTTGAGCAAAAATGCTAAGGGATGGTATGCTGGCCCTAATCCAGTACTGGCACACAAAAACATGTCATTTAATAAATCAGAGAAATGAATGGATAGATCTTAATCTATATTTTTTGTGTTGGTAGATCTTGAGAAAGATAAGATACAATTCCTGACATGCTCAACTCCAACACCAAATATTTTTCCACTTTTAAGGTACATTCCAGTGTATTCTCACATTTATCCTATTCTCTTATCTCTATTTTTTATTATTTAAATTTTGTTGTAAGTGTGATGTATAGAGGGTTTACAGTTACATAGTACAGCAATGAGTGCATTTCTTTTTGAATGGTGTTGCCCCTCCCTCAATTTTTCCAATTTTTCCCCCACTCCTGAACCTCTCCCTCCAAAGTGTAAGGTTCGTTTCCAACATAGCATCTAATGAGTATCACTGTTGAACTGGGTCACCCTTTGTTCCATTGTTGTGATTCCCCTTCCCCTCTCCAAGTCAGATAAACTTATACACAAGATAAAGGATACAGAAATTAAAAACAAACAAACAGGGACAACAGAAATAAAAAAAACCACATGGACAGCTAGGAATAAACCAAAGGATCAAAAAGAAAGAAAAGAGAAAGAACTGTGAACAGTACAATAAAATTACCTCTTGTTTTTATTTCTTGGAATTCATTTTGATAAACATCATTTCATATGGTCATAGGCATAGAGCTATAGAGTAATTGTGATCCTCTACTAAGAATATCATCCTTTGTTGTCAGTGTAAGAAAATTTAGAGTGCTGTTTAATCATGTCCAAGTGTAATTATTTGTGTTTTCCTATCCATTGGAATACTAAACTCCCAAAAACAAATCCTCAAAGAAACAACAACCCAATTAATATATGGGTTAAAGACATAAAGAGAGACTTCTATGAAGAAGAAATAGGAATGGCCAATAGACACATGAAGACATGTTCAACATCTCTAGCTATAAAAGAAAGGCAAATCAAAACCACATTGAGATTCCACCTCACCCCAGTTGGAATGGCCATTATAAAGAAGATTAATAACAATAGATGCTGGTGGGGATATGACCAAAGGGAACACTTCTACACTGTTGGTGGGAGTGTAAATTTGTTCAACCACTCTGGACAGTAGTATGGAGGTTCCTCAAAAAACTAAACATAGAGCTCCCTTATGGTCCAGCAATCTCACTCCTGGGCATTTACCCAAATGACCACAACCACCAGCACAACCATGCTCATTAAAGCTTTATTTACACACATAGAATTCTATGCTTCCATCAGAAAGAATGGCATTGCCCCATTCATAAGGAAATGGAAAGACTTAGAAAAAATTATGTTAAGCAAAGTAAACCAGGCCCAAAGAAACAGAGGCTGCATGTTTTCCTCATTTGTAACAACTAGATGTCTATAAATCTACATTCATCCTATTTTTATCATTCAACATTCATCCTATTTTTACAATTTATCCTATTTTTACAGCTCAATCCTAGATCTTGGGACTTAATTTTCAATATTATTAAGTAGATTCAATTAACTTTTGATCACAACAGGAGCATTTAGGATGAACAGAATCATTTCTTAAACTATGTATTTTCTTCAAACAAGAAGAGACTGGGGCCCTCAATCTACTGTAAAATAGTTCAAATCTCTAAATTCAACTGGTATGTCACTAGACCAGGACAACCAAGGGAATCACTAGGACTGAATCAAGACTGTCTTGATAACACATTGTTTACTTGTTTGAATTCTTTGTCTAGCAACATTCATCATTAAAACTGAATACTGACTAAGCTGTAACTTCATGATAGAGCACTTACCTATTCACTGGGTTTGATCAAAAAATAAAAAGTCAACAATTCATCTTATATACAACAAAATTAAGAAAAGATGTGCTTCAGAATATGGTGACAATGTCAAAAGGGGTGATACTGATCAAGATGCATTGCATTCATGAACTGCTTTGTTAATTGGGACTCCTTTTTACAACTATTTAATGCCAATTTTAAAAAGTACAATTGGAGAAAAAAAGAAAAAAATGAAATAGCCAGCTGGCCCCAGTGGGCTCATGTGAATAATCCTAGCTACTTAGGAGACTGAGATCTGAAGATTGTGGTTGGAAGCCAGCCTGGCTAGGAAAGTTTGTGGGACTCAACTCCAATTAACTCCAAAAAGCCAGAAGTAGAGCTGTGGCAAATGGTAGAACACAAGCCTTGAACAATTCCCAGACCCTGAGTTCCAGCCCTAGGACTGAAATACATAGATAGGTAGACAGAGAGACAGACAGACAGACAGAGAGATGGAGAGAGATATATATGGAGAGAGAGAGAGAGAGAGCGCATCATCAGAGTTGGAGGATAAAACATGGCAGACACGTAAAGGCTGAGTATTTAAATATCTACCAACTGTCACCTTATAAGGGAAAAAAAGTCTCTCCATTTGGAGATTTAGCACTTAAGTATCACAAAATTTATTTTCAGACTTGCTCTCTGACCCAAAGTATTGTGTGGATGGTAAATTCCATGTCATCATTTATCCTGAGGAGATGAGTCACCTGAGTTGTCTGCAGTCTCTAGGCCAATATGGAGTCCAAGAGTGTCCAGGATGGGTGGTGTTCTGTCTGGACGCCATGTCACCCACTTTTAGAATAACATTAAAGCTAGAAGATTTATTCCTACTCTCAAGTGTTCTATATAAATCAGTTTGAAATTGATTTGAAATTATTTTATACCAGCCCATTAATCAAATTTCATTTAAAAAATATGACTGGATGAGGTTTTCCTCCTCGGTAGCTCTCAAGCCAATTTAAACATTGATCCATCAGTGAAATAATGCACTGGAAGAAGTAAATAGCCTGTAAACATAAAATAGTCTCATTAGTATTATCATCCTATTTTCATTGCTACTAGATATGTTCTCTAACATATTTTTTTCTGAGAAATAATAAAGGTACCCTTCAAACCTTATTTCTTTCTAGGAGCACATTTACAAACTGATGAAAAGTGACTCCTATCCACGTTTTATAAGATCCAGTGCCTATCAGGAGCTCCTACAGGCAAAGAAAAAGGTATTGGTTCTTTGTGACCTTCTTTGACTTGGTTCTTAGTTAGACTCACTTGGAATAAAATTACCTCTTCTTGGTTCAGGGTATTGAACAAATGGTAAGTGGACATATTTCAAGACCCTTTCCCAAATCTTCCGTTTTGTAAGGGACATTTGTTTTTGTTTTTTTTTTGCTTTTTGCTTTTTGATTGCTTATGTATTATTATTTGTTTGTTTCTGCAGATGTTCATGCTTTACAAAGCTTGCTAGAAACTGTTTTCATGTTTCACGTGAACCTTCCATTTAAGGAAAGCTTAAGGCAATAAAAAATTACAATACAAACACTGTCAAACACTTGAGAAGTCTTATTTACAAAGCTGTAATAATATATGTTCATAACTAAAAAGAGACCCACATTTTTAATGAAAGCTGTGAAAAATATAGAATCATTTACATCTAGATACTTTTATTTGTCTTTTATCCTGTATTACGTTGTATTCTTTGGATGAATTATACACACCTCAGCTAGTACCCAAGCACATTTTGAGAGAGTGGTAGTAGTAGACTTTGTTATTTAGGTAATATTTATAATCAAATCCTCATTGTTCATACTTTTATATGATGAATATCATTCATTATTTTCCAATGTTAAAATAACTCACAACTTTCTGAAAGCCTAAGACCAAACTCTAGCTTTATATAACGCATGCATTGAGGCTAATGAGATATTCTTTTTAAGCACAGTCTCTTTGAAGCTAGAAAGAGATACTCGGGTATCTGTGATTCCACTATAGCAGCCACCAGCCACATGGGACTTCTTAAATTTAAACTTGAATTAATTGAAACGCCATACAATTCTGGCCAACTTACAAATGATCCATCACTACAACCAAGGTCTTTAGTTCTGGACAGTTTTGGACAGAATTTCCATTTGTTCTGAAATACCTGTTCTACTACTCAGCCCTACACAATGACGTTATCAATAAAAATTGCCTACAAGCAATGATTTTATCAAAAGAAATTTTGCCCTGGTAGAAAACTATGAGGGCACTCTGAAGCTGTGCTTCTAGAGTTTTAATTGTCATGCATTCTGGATGTCCACATGAAAGCTTCACATAGCTACTTCATTTCTTCTTATTTTGCTTGAAACCATGCCAGTTTTGTTTTCACAAAAAAAGGCTCTCAATGTTTAGGAAGAAAAAAAAAGCAGCAATGAATACAGCTTTCCTTGGAGGTTCTCTTACCCACCCAGGCTCTGTGATTTAAACATGGATTTAGCATTGCTTCATTTTATCATCCTGTCTTTTCTGCTCTATTTTTTTGCTTCCCCCTCCCCTATTTTCCCTTAATTCCTTTCATTCTACCCCATCCTACACATATAAGTCTGGAAACTCAATGGATCGCAGAACATCTTTTGAGAAATTTGCACAGAATGTGGTAAGTTTTATTTTTTTGAGACATTACAAAGCATTAAGTCCAGTAAAGTTACCCCATATCTCTATTCCATTGCCCATCTGGTCTTTAATCTAAAAATATTGTCTCTATTCAAATCCAGAACTTCATGCTTCCTACTTATGTTTCTTCCCCAGCCTTTGCAGAGTAGATAAAGTTGTTGTATGTGAACAACAACATGCATTGAACCGAGGTTTGGAAAGAAGTGTATAAATAGAATGAATGAATCTGACATTCTTTATATTTGTATTCCATGTATCCTTTTCCTTATTGACAATAATGCATGCATTTCTGTTTGTATCCTGAATTCTTCCTTAGGCTTAAAATATAAAGAATAATGAGGTTTGGGGCTTTCTGCCTCTTTAGGGAGAAAATGATCTAACAGCAGATGAATGCCAAAGATATTCTGAATGGTAGTTGGTGGCAAGCTAATGCTGCACCAAAGGCATGCACTAGCATGCTTGTTATTTGTTATTTTTCACAAAGATATTGGAAATTGTTGCCTAATTCACCCAGAAAAACAGTTGTTCTGCCAGTATTTTCTTAGCATCTTGCCATGTGTTTTGGTGATATATATTTGTTTGTGGGATTATTTTTGTTTCATTTATTTCTTGAGTTTTGTATTGTGCCAGTGCCTTTGGAACTTTCTGACATTGTGGAAGTTCAAACTAAAGCTTTCAACACATTTATTTTTATAGGGCAGAAACATCCCTATTTTCCCATGCCATAAAAACTGTACACCAACACTGAGGGCCAGCACTAACCTGTTATGAAAAGAGGTAGAAAAATCTTGGTTTATACTCAAGTTTGTCTGCATTGTCTGTTGAGTTGTGTGGTTAGCTCCATGCTGCTGTGTGTGTGTGTATGTGTGTGTGTTGTGGCTTTTGCTGTGATGGTCAGTTAATTGAACCTATGTATGTTGAAATGTAAGAAAGTTGGATTCAACAAAGATAATGGTTTTTGTTTTCAGTTTTCTTCAAGGATCCTCATGGTAGGACTTACTAACACATTCTACATTTGTATTGTGACTGTGAAGAGAGTATTTGAAAGACTTTAAACAGTATTATGTACTTTGAATATTCAATGTGACTGCATGAACTAAAGGGATGGAAAATGAGAGATTCCAGGAATGAATCACATTAGAAGCTGCAAAGAACTTTGATTGGCTCTATTGGAACCTCTACCATGAGAAATTCCTAAATAGAAAAGTTCTGCATAAAATTTCTTAACTATGCCTCATATGGAACTATGGAGTGATAAAGACAATGCCAAAATAATTACCTCAAGAATTTCCTGCCAGGAGTAGCCATAAGACATTGCAAAGGCTTCGTGTGCTGTTTAAAACTTGCTTTGACTTAATTATTTTCTAACATAATGTTGACAGAATATTATTTCTAAGATTGGAATGGAAATGTCTGTTGTGTAACTAAGAATAGGAATATAATGTGAGGTAGAAGGCATAAAGAAGTAAAAGACTTGCTTCTCCACTTTCAGCCCAAGACTGACCTACTTCCCAACTCCTAAAATAGTACATTGGTGACACATGCAAGACTTGTCAAGGAGCCAGTAAAGAAAAAAAGGACCCCAAAAGAAATCTATGTATTTTGACAATTCCCAGTAAATATAAACAGGATGAACATGGCAAAAGTCTTTAAAATGTGAGGCTAGCAATAGATGTTCTGAGAGAAAAGATGTTGAGTAATTCTCTCTCTCTCTCTCACATACACACACACACACACACACACACACACACACACAGAGTATAGTAATGACTTTCAGACAACCTGCAAAAGGCATTAATCCTTTTCCATCCAGGAAAATGAGAATTACTATTTCTGATTGAATATTTTGCTTTATTATTATCTTGAAGAAATGAATAAGTACATGAGAAAAGCTCTGAGTCCTCCCTTTAGAGTATTCTTTTAATGTAGCATTGGTTTTGTGGTCACCAGCTAAGTATTTGTATACTAAATTATCTAAGATATTATTTTAGGCTCAATAGAATCATTTCAACATAAGACAAAGAGTGAGTAATTTCATTATATTCTGATAGACAACAGAGGAAAGCTAGGGTTTACAGAAATATGTTATGCATTCCTCTAGCTGCTCTTATAAATTCAAGAAAATGAAGAGCTAGACAATGTCCGTGACAGAATGCAAGAGAGAAAATATGATTAACTAGGTATTTGGGACTAAAAGTGAGTTAACTCATGTTCTTTGAATACTTGCCATGCACCAGGCTCTGCCCCAGACACTTTATATACTTTATATTAGTTAAACTATTTTAGTAAGGCAGGTGTTATTGTATTAATTCATCTACCTGTTTTACAGGTAAGGTTTTACATGTTTCACAAAGTTTTACATATAAGGTTTTATATCTAGAAGATAGGTAAATTTCCAAGTATCACTTATCCACATTTATTATAGTCAGAAATTCTTTCATTTTGTTCATCCTGCTCCCCCTGGGCATTTTCTCAACCGGTTGAAAATCCTACCACTCAACGATATCCTGCTCTCTAACAAGTTGTACCTATTTTAGGGAGTTTATTTGCAGCTTTCAGAATGGCATCTTCATAAACTAGTTCATAAGATTAGCATCTACTTTTCTTTTACTCTTGAGTCAAATATGTTTTTGGAACTAGTTTTTCCCCCATTATAATTTCCTCCAATATCATTAGTTTCCTTATTATCTGAACTAATAAACATCTTCTAGAATATTAGAGGATAATTTGAACAAGTAATTAAGAGATGTGTACTGTTTAAAGTATTCAAAGGCCTTTCATTTCTTCTTGTTTGTTGTTAATATGCACAAAAATTTGGGGAGCCAACCAGACAGCTAGGAGTCATTTTACCTTCTCAGATGTACAGCTGTGGTCACAGAAGAGAGGTCATTTCCCACAGTGTAGAAGGTCACTCATGTCCCACAGCCCTTGAGTGTTAGAACCAGAACTTATAGATTGCTCCTATTCTTTTCATTAATCCCCAAACAGATGGGATATGGATCACTCAAATTTGTGTAATGCACTCATCTTGGATTCTTGTCTCAAAAAAATCTTATTCCTTCTGATTTACCCATCTGTCCATTCATTCATTCGCTCATTTAATTATTTATTTTAGTGTTTGAAATGGAGTTTATGTAACCCAGACTGGCATTAAATTCTCCATCACCTTTTTGTCTCAAACTCTCCATTGCTAGCTAAAGTGTACCTCTCAAAGCTCCCTATGTCTGTTCATGCCTTTTAAATGTTATTTGTGTTGTTAGCTTCATTCTTGTTTGACAGGGTATACAGCCTTTACTAATTGTGAAAATCACCTCTACTATCATCATCAAATCCAACACCATTTCTTCATTAGCTGAATTGTTATAATGCCTTTCTACCCCCTGCAGACCTTAGAGGTACACAAATAAAATAAGGAGGAAAAGGTTGGGAAGTAGAGTGTATTATCCTAGCTACTTTGGAGGCTGAAACAGGAATATCAAGGTTTGAGGCCAGCTTGGCAGAAAAGCCAGAAGATCCCATTCTCAACACATAGCTGGGTGCTGTTGCACCCATTTCTCATCCCAAGCCATATGAGAGGCTGAGATCCAAACACTGTGATTCCAGGCCAGCCAGCCCAGGTAGAACAGTCCACAAGACCGTGTGTTTGCTCAGGAAAACTGCACTTGGTGGTGAGAACCTGCAATCCTAGTATTGATGAGAATGTTACCGTAGACAGGCAGTAATCCTGGGAAGGAAGCAAGACCCTATCTTAAAAATAAGTGAAAAAAAAAACAGAGCTGGAAGCATGTGGCAGCAATGACTTCAAACTCTAATATCACCCTTCCCTACAAAAAAAGACTCAGTAGAGGCTCTATTATCCCTAATGTTCTGGCATACTTGAGCTAAGTTAGAGCACACTACACTGTTTAGTGAGGGTCTAAACTGCTTGGCGTGTTATCAGGAGAACAAACTCCAGGCTTCACATAGTAAGGTATTGCACAACACTGACTGATCTACTCTGTCAGCTCCACTTAAGAAAGCAGTGTTAACCGAAGTCATTTGGGCTGGCTCCAAATGAGTTGATCTGTTGGGACCAAATCAGTATTAATTCTCCAACTCAGTATTTCAAACCTCAACGGTAAGAGAAGAGATGTGAATGTGAAGTATCGAAAATGAGAAGACATACAAGTTTCATTATTTTAAAATATCCTTTCTGTTTAAAGCAAACAAAATAGTGTTTATAATTTTGAGGCAATAGCTCCCTATCTAGTTTAGGTTGAAGTCAGACTTGAGGTCCTTCTACCTTCTTTCTGAGTCCTGGGATTACAGGGGTTCATCCTATGCCTGGCCCTCACTGCATCTCTTATTTTTACTATTCCCCTAAAACATGAGCATCCATATATGACTTAGATGACATTCAGACTTTAGCAGCCACTTGTGTTACCCATGAAAGGCAAGCTTTCCTGCCTTCTGCTCTTAATCTGTGTTAGCAACACAGTTAATGTTTGGAAGACAATTTTGTTTTAAATCCATGACCCTGTCAGAAAATCTATGGATTGTTTCTAGTCCTTGGTAAAATGTTTTAAAAATACTTACCCATGGGGCTGGGAAGGTGGCTCAGTGGTAGAGCACTTGCCTTGCACGCATGAGGCCCTGGGTTCGATTCCCCAGCACCACATAAGCAAAAAGAAATAAAAAAGCCGGAAGTGGCGCTGTAGCTCAAGTGGTAGAGCACTAGCCTTGAGCTGAAGAGCTGAGGGACAGCACCCAGGCCCAGAGTTCAGGCCCCACGACCGGACCCAAAAAAAAAAAAAAAGAAAGAAAAATACTTACCCAATTGTTAAATGTGAAAATCTAGTGTGAAATTATCTGTACAAATTCTAACAGGTGCCATAATTGTAGCCAGGGAGACACTGTCTTTTACCAGTATCACCCTACGAATAGCACAGGTTTGGGGAATCCAACCCTGAGCACTCTGCAGATGTCCCAAGCAGTGATTGTCTGCCCCACCTGTGAGAGCCCTGTCTGTTTTCCCTGGCCTGGCCTCTGTCTTGAATTGTGTGAGTATGCCACTCTACTATTTGAGCATATAGGCAAATCAGGGCAGAAAAATTATATTGGAAAGGATCCTGGCATGCCTACAAAGACAATATAAGATCTTGTTATTAACTTTGTTCACCAGGAATAATACTAACAGAAAATATTGACATGGTAGCCTAGGATCTATTCAGATGTCACATTTATTATAATTTTATTCCTCATTATACCAGTCTCTAAACCTTGCATTGATCAGCCTATTCTAAGTTTTCATTTTGTGTGCTACAGGGATAGAAAGACAGCTTGCTAGGCTGAGGATGAGCTTTGAATGTATGAGATCCTGGTTTTATTTTCCAAATATGCATGTGTACACACACACACACACACACACACACACACACACACACACACACATGCATACATCTATATACATACAAGAGAGCCTATTATCACTATGATTTCCCTCAAGAGCAATTTCTATCATAATGAAACAGAAACAAAACTGACAGTAGGTCATTTTATAATTATGCTAAAGAATTATTTGTGTATTAAATGTTTATACTACCTGTACTTATACTAATGAAATCACAGTACAATAAGACCTCCACAAAGCTAGTCCAACCCTCAATTTTCATAAGCATTTATCATAGCATATACCAATAGGTTGGGAACGCTGTCCCCTGCTTAAGGAAGATTTTGTAAATGTCATTTTTCAGTTAGGTGTTATTTTTGTTGCTGTTGTTTGAGATGACAAACTATGC